CTGATGTCATTCCCAGACCGATTCAGACACGGCAGCCTCGGGAGGGTTCGAGCCGTGGCGTGGTGGGGGCCCGCAGACAGGGACCACCGCAGCAGAGATGAGCTACCTGCCCGCCTAAGGGGGCTTGCACCTCCTGCTGGTCCAGCGGCACCGAAAACGCAGCTTGAGATGGGCTACCCCCTGCCCCTGGGCAATCTGATGAAAATGGGGTCTGCTCCAGCCCACGTGCCACCGGCGAGGACCGGGGGGGGGGTGTCCCAGGGAGATCACCCCTGGCCGCACCCCCACACCAGGTTGGGGACAGGTGATTCCAGCAAAGGGATAAGGAAATGCCAACCCGTGACCCAGATGTTCCCCTTTAGGGGGGATTTTCTGCCCCCGCCGGACATGCAGACATGTCTGGGGACACTCGGGAACTGGGGGTGTGATAGCGTCTCTGGTGACGACTAGGATCAGCTCAGTAGCAACACAGGAGGTTCGAGTAGACCCTCTGCTTCCCTGCAGGGGGCAGGAAGGCTGGCAGGGGTGGGCTCAGAGGAACTGCCCGCCCTGCGGAAGCTGTGAGCCGGCCCTAGTGGTGCCGTGTATGGTCCCCAGCTGGGAACAGAGGCCTGGAGACAGCCCCTCAGCAGCAGACGCACGGAAGAGATGCTGAAAAGGACGAAAGAAGGGAGTTCACGTGTCATCTAGCTGTACAGGGGCGATGACTCCTGAGGGATGGGGGTGTCTGGTCTTGCCTCCCCTCCCCCAGTGCGCTAGGCGGGGGTGGGGGGTGGGGGGTGGAGGGGGATCCCCCGGCCTTGACCTACAGGGGAGACCCCGCTGGGGGCCTGGGCTCAGGTGGGCCTGGCCGAGCTCGTGAGTTGCAGGCTCACTGGGAACTTTGCAGCAGTTTGGCGGCATTGGGCTGTCATGTAGTCACTAAAGTGAAACCACACAGTTACAGTGGAATATATTATGTTTCAAAAATAAAAACTAATAAGCACCACCCCTGGGTGGTCGCTATTGTTGTATAATTGTTGCACACGCATCTCTGGCCTCAAGGCGTGGCTGTCAATTTCAGGGGTCAGGAGAAACGTTTCCTACCCAAAGAGAAGAGAGTCAATAGCTCAGATTTTGCAAGCCAGGAATTGAATGTGGCTTCATGGTGATAACTCACTTGGCCCCAGGTCTCTGCGTTTGCAGCGTGGACACAGGAAATAGGGGGAGAACTCAAAGGTCTGAGGCATGTGCTTGGCATGCGTGGGGCCCCAGTTAGACCCTTGGCACATCACTACGGCATGGCTGGGTAGCCGTCCCGGCTGCCTCCAGCATGACTGGGAACCTCCTCTTCTAAGAGTGAAACTACTCACATTTTCTTCCCAAAGCCAAGTTCAGTGGCGCCCCCGGGGGCAGCGTAAAATGAATGAAGGGAATATTCACTCCAGGGCATTGGTCAGACGACTCCGAAATTGGTTTTATTTTGGTTTTTAAATCAAGCCGAGGGGGCTGGAGCAATAGCACAGAGGTTAGGGCGTTTGCCTTGCATGCGGCCGACCTGGGTTCGATTCCCAGCATCCCATTGGGTCCCCCGAGCACTGCCAGGAGTGTTTCCTGAGTGCAAAGCCAGGAGTAAACCCTGAGCATCGCTGGGTGTGACCCAAAGAGCAAAAAATACATAAATAAATAAATCAAGCCTATGGTTCGGTATTTCCTGGGGCCACCAGATGCAGCGGCTGCAGCTCAGGGATGGATCAAGCCCCGTGGGGCGGGGCGCAGTGTTTTGGGTTAGTGCACTATTTCGTTTGGGGGTAAGGAGGAAGCTGTGCTAAGAATCCCTCAGCTGGAGAGCACCTGGGGGAGCGTCCGAGGGAGGTGCGGGTGCCGGGAGGTGCAGCAGTGGTAACGGTCTCCTCCCCCATCTGGGCCTCTGCAGCTTCCTTCGTCCCTCTGGAGGCTGCCGGCTCAGTGAGACTCATTTCCCCTCTGAGTTAGCGCACAGGGAGGCGCTGGGGACATGGGAGCTGAGGTGTGAGCTCCTGGGGGCCCGTCCGACCTGCTTGCCACCATCCCTGCTCCTGGCGTTGAGCTCAAGGCGAGGCACCGTTGTGGCTGGGGCTGAGCGCCTTTGGCTGTGCAGGGAGCGCTGAGGACAGCGGGTCCTCGAGACGGGCGCAGACCAGGAGAGGCCGCCTGAGAACTCCCTGGCTAGGCTGGACAGTGGAGCTCGGAGACCGCGGGGCCCTTGGTGGCGCCCTCCCAAGTTCAATGTCATAAACCTGCGAAGGTCAATGGCGGGAGCACGAACCCCAGGGGGTCTGGACTTGCTCTACAGGGGACACATGCTCACGGCATTGGGTGTATCCATGGAAACTGGACAGCTTCGTTCCCACGGAGGTGGGGGCAGGAAGGGGCCCCCTGATGAAATCGTGACCGATAGGGCTCAAGACCTGACCGTCACGGGCTGTGAAGCAAGCCCAGCTCTATCACAACATCCTGCCCCCACTCCTGAGGGACATCCGCCACCGTGTATCTACCTGGTAGGCACCCATCTCATCACCGGGAACCCCCACTTCCTGCTCTCCAGGAAAGCTTCTTGTGCATCTAGGGGACTCTGTGTCCCCGGTTCAAAGTAAGACCACGCCTTTGTGCCAGGCAAAGGTGGGGTTGGTGCGAGGACTCGCTCAGGACAGCCCCGACTGAAGAGAGCTGGGGGACAGCACAGAATATGAGGTGGGCTGGAAGTGGGATCTGGTCCCTGGATGGCCAAACCCCCACCTGAACCTCTCCCTGCTCACCTGGGCTTGGGCATGAGAGTGGCCTTAGCTCAGAGCAGGCGGGGCAGTCCCAGAACAGTGAACTCCCGCACTTGGAGGGGTCCTGCACTCGGGCTGCTTGTTTTTATTTTTTATTTGCTTTTTGGGTCACACCCAGTGATGCACAGGAGTTACTCCTGGTTCATGCACTCAGGAATTACTCCTGGCGGTGCTCGGGGGACCCGATGGGATGCTGGGAATCGAACCTAGGTCGGCTGCGTGCAAGGCAAACGCCCTACCTGCTGTGCTATTGCTCCAGCCCGTCGGGCTGCTTGTTTTTATCATACCCCTTGAATGTTGCTCTGCACGAATAGGAGGTTTTTGTTGACTTACTTGGTTGATATTTGGAATTCGCCCACTGGTGCTCAGGGAGGGTTCCTGGCTGGGCTCAGGTGCCAGGGATCAAACCCAGATTGGCTGCGGCCAGGCAAGCGCCTCATCTGCGGGAGTTTTGCCCCCTAACTGGGAGAAGAGAGCCCAGGCTTGCCACTGTTTGCCTGTGATGGTGATTTTGTGACCTCCCGGCCTCCAAGCTGCTCCTCTGCCTTCTCGTCCGCTTGGGGCAGGGGACCTCTGGACGGGACATCTACAACCCACTCACCTGCAAGGTCCAGCTGTGGCACCCACTGCTCCCTCTCAAGGGGAGGCCAGGTCTGCGCTCGTGGGCACCACTGCCCGTCCACACTCCCCTGGCACCCCGGAGGGCCCTCATCTGGCTGGGTCCACAGTGCAGCCTCCTACCTCGCCAGGCCCCTGTGCCCTCGGAGGTGCCTGCCAGGGCCACCGCTCCTGGTCTCTGATTCCTCAAGGCCTCTTGGAGTCAGGACAGGTCCCCGAGCTCAGAGTCCCAGCGTGGTGCATGCCCCCTTTGTCTGCGTGTGTGGCCCAGGCACAGCGTGGCCAGTCTTGGTGGCTCTAGACCCTGGAACCTGGGCCGGTCACTCCTCCTTGCCAACTTCCTGTGCAAGTGTGGGAACCGACGGACGACACCTCCGGGCAGAGCGCTGTGTGTGTGTGTGTGTGTGTGATTGCACCCTGAGCCGGGAGGAAGCAGCCAGGGCGCCGCTGATGACCATGACCGAGAGAGGGATGACTGAGTTCCTCATTATCTCGGGAGAGGGTTTCGCAGCTGTGCTGGGGCCAGGCTGCATCCCCGCACCCACATCTTAAGATATGACGTTGAGTGTGTGTGTGTGGGGGGGAGGGAGGGGGTCCCAGGAATCAGAGCCAGGAACCTCAGATGCTTCGGGTGCAGGGCGGAGACGCTCCCTTGGCCCCCGACGTCCCCGTTTCTGTTTTGTGTTTGTGGGGGGGAGGGGGCCACACCCGGCGCGCGGGGCTTCTCCCTGGCTCTGTGCTCTGCGCTCGGGGACCGGACCAGATGCGCCGCCTCCGCCGGGGATGGCACCCCGGGGTGGGGCCGTGCGTGCGGGCGAGCGAGGGGGCGTCGGTCCGAGGGGTGGCCGCCGCCGGGTCCGGGCCCCCATCCGGGCGGGCCAGCCGCGCGCCGCCCCCTCCGGATGCCCGGGCCGGGCCTGGGCGGCGGCGGCGGGTGGTACCTCTGGGGGGTCGGGGGCACGGGGTGGGTGGGGGTCGGGCTGGGGGGGGCGTCCGGGTCCGGGCAGGTGCGGGCGCGGCCGCGGCCAGCCGGCCGGCCGGCCGTCCGTCCGTCGGGCCCGCAGGCGCGGGGGCGCGGCTGGGCGTGACGTCACGGCCCCGCCCCCTCCGCGGGCCGCGCCCCGCCCGAGGCCGGCCGCCGCCGCCGCCGCCGCCGCCGTTGCCGCCATTGACGTCAGAGGGGCGGGCACATGACCCCGCGGGGACCAATCGCGCGCGCGCCCCGCGGCTCCCGCGAGCTCCCCGGCGCGCCGGGCCCCGGCCCCCGCCCGCCGCCGCCGCCGCCGCCCGCACGGACGCGCTCTCTCACACACACACACACACACACACACGCACACACACGCGCACACACGCGCGCGCGCACACACCGACGCCGCGACCGCCGAGCGCGCGGGCGCCCGGACACGCCCGGCATGCGGGCCCGCCGCTAGGCGCCCGCCGCCCCCGCCCGCGCCCGGCCCGGCCGCCCGCCCGCCCGCCGCCCCCCGCCCGCCGCCCGCCGCCGCCGGGGTGGGGGGCGCGCGCCGCCCGCGCCCGCGCCCGCGCCCGCGCCCGCGCCCGCGCCCGCGCCCGCGCCCGCGGCCGGCCATGGACGTGAGCGGCGGCGGCCCGGGCGGCGGCGGCGACGCGCGGCAGCCCGAGGACGCCAGGGCGCTGCCGGCGGGCGACGCGGGCCCCGAGGCGGCCAGGATGGGCGCCGCGCCCTGCCGCCGGGCCCTGCTGCTGTGCCACGGCGTGCGCTACAAGCTGCTGCAGGAGGGCGACATCCAGGTCTGTGTCATCCGCCACCCGCGCACCTTCCTCAGCAAGATCCTCACGTCCAAGTTCCTGAGGCGCTGGGAGCCGCACCACCTCACGCTGGCCGACGGCAGCCTGGCGTCCGCCACGGTCAGTGCCGCCCCCGGGCCCCGCCGGGACCCCCGCCGGGACCCCCGCCCCGCCCCGCCCCCCCCCCCGGGCGCCGGGCGAGGGCAAGCGCCGCCGGGACTCGCGGGAGCGCGAGCGCGAGGGTGCGAGGTGCGGGGCGCTCGGGCCCTGGGGACGCAGGCGGGGGGGGGGGGTGAGATTGGTGTGGGTCGGGGGGGGGGGCGTGTGTGTGTGCCGAGAGGTGTGTGAGCGTGGTGGCGTGACTCTGTGTGGTGTGTGGTATTCGTGTATCCGTGGTGCGTGTGTGCAGTGGACTTGTCTGTGCCGAGAGGTGCTTGTGAGTGTGGTGGCGTGTCTCTGTGTGGTGTTTGTACGTGTGTGGTATGCGTGGACCTGTGGTGTAAGTGTGTAGTGGATTTGTGTGTGCCGAGAGGTGTGTGAGCGTGGTGGCGTGTCTCTCTGTGGTGCATGGGGTGTGTGTGTGTCTGTGTGTGTGGTGTCCGAACGCGTGCAGTGGTGTGTATGGTGTAGTGTGTGTGGTATGTGTGTATCTCTGGTGTTTGTGTAGTGGCTATGTGTGCCGAGAGGTGTGTGAGTGTGGTGGCGTGTCTCTGTGTGGTGGATGGTGTGTGTGTGTGTGTGGGGTGTGCTGTCCATGCGTGTGTGGTGTAGTGTGTGTGCCGTGTGGTACGTGTGAGGTAGTGAGGCGTGTGGTGCCGTGTGGACGCAGGCTGGGGGTGTGTGTGTGTGAGATTTGTGTGGTGGTGTGTGTGGTATGGTGTCTGTGTGCGTGTGGTATAGTGTGTGTATCTGTGGTGTATGTGTGCAGTGTGTATGTGTGTGCTGAGAGGTGTGTGAGTGAGGTGTCATGTCTCTGTGTGGTGAATGGTGTGTGTGTACGTGTGTGGTTTGTGTGGTGTAGTGTGTGTGCTGTGTGGTACGTGTGAGGTAGTGAGGCGTGTGGTGCCGTGTGGACGCAGGCTGGGGGTGTGTGTGTGAAATTTGTGTGGTAGTGTGTGTGGTGTGGTGTCCGTACGTGTGTGGTTTGTGTGGTGTAGTGTATGTGTGCGCGTGGAGTGGTGTGTGTGGTGTGTGTGTATCTGGTGAATGTGTGTAGTGTATGTGTGTGTGCTGAGAGGTGTGTGAGTGTGGTGTCGTGTCTCTGGCGAATGGTGTGTGTGTGTGTGTGTGCCGTGTGTGCGGTGTATGTATGTGTGTGGTGTAGTGTGTGTGTGCTGCAAGTGGGTCGTGTATGCATGTTGTGCGTGTGGCGTAGTATGTGGCGTGTGGGGGGTGTGTGTGTGGTGTTTGCTTGGCGTGTGCGTGGTGTGGTGTGTGTGCGTGCCGAACGTGTGTAGTGCCCGCATGTGTGTGGTGTGCGTGGCATGTGTGTCATAGTGTGTGGCGGGTGTGCATGCGTGCCGCGCGCGTGTGTGCGAGATGTGTGCCGGCCTCGCCACAGCCACCCCTGAGCCAAGGAGCCCAACCAGGAAGAGGGTGTCGCTTCCGCGGCGTGTCACAGATGTGTGGCGTGTGCGGACATTGCCCCGGCACCCATGTTCCCTTGGCGGCGTGTCACAGGCCGTGACACATGCGCCGAGGAATGGGGAGGGGGAGGGTCCGCCGGCGAGACCGCCTCCGCGGAGCGGCTCCCCCTGCCCGGGGGACTTTTATTCTGAACCCAGCGCCCTTATTTGCGCTGCGCCGTGGGCATGTTGGTGCAGTGTCTGCACACGGCACCCCCACAGGGGCTTGCTTCCTGGCTCACCCTGCTCGCCCCACCTCCAAGCCTCAGCTCTTCCTCTGGGGCTGGGGAGCGGTGGGCGGGACCCCCGACCCCGATTATCCAGCTCCAGGCAGGACCCCCGCTCCCTCGTGTCTCTGGGGTCCGGTTCTCGGCTCAAGGGGCTTTTTGCTGTTGCTTGGGGGCCTCCTGCAGCCCGTCGGGTGTTCAGGGGGGTAGAAAGTGGTCGAGCGTCGCAGATAGTGACCTCTGGGTGTGTGTGTGTGTGTGTGGGTGGGTGCGGTGGGCAGCGGGGAGCGGGGGCTCAGCTGCCAGGGTGTTGGGGGCAGCTGGCTCTGGGGGCTGGAGGCCCCCGACTTCCCTCCGTTGGCTCAAGGGGTGTAGAGAGAGGAAGGGAAGAGGTGACACCGTGTGCCGGTTCCCCAAGCAGAGGCCCTGTTGGCAGCTGGGCCGGTGGCTCCTTAGTGGCTGGGCCCCTCTGCAGAGGGACTGTCCCTTCCCTCAGCTGGGCCTCTCCGCAGAGGGGCTGCTCCCGTGGAGCCTGGTTCTGGCTCTGGGGGTCTGTGGCGGGCTTCCTCCCCGCCCTGTGCGGTGGGACAGCCGAACCCCTCCTCCCACCTGTTGTCATTGTCTGTGGCAGACCTGGGGCGTGCCCCTAGGGCTTGCTGAGGCGGGAGTTGGGGGGGGGGTGTAATTGGGGGGCAGGGGACTGCTGAGGGCAGGCCTGGCCCGGAGGTGGCCTCTAGGGCACGGGTGGGGCTGGGACAGCCACCAGGGACCTTGTCCCATCGTGTAACACCTGGTTGGTGTCCAGCCCTGGGGAGGCAGCAGAGCCCCAGGGGTTTCCCTGAGGCCGGGCATTATGTAATGTGTCTGCACTGGCCGAGCCCCGGAGACAGGTGGATAGAAGCCCTCCAGCTCTTGCCCGGGTGCTGGGCACAGCTTCCGGGAAATACCTGGCATCTGTGCCCACGGCCATCCACACCGCCCTCCTCAGGACCACCTGCAATGATCTGGCCAGTTGTGTGGGCTTCAACGGACACGACTCGGGGACTGAGCTGGCTTCACACCAGTAAAAACCAAAGACACTTTTTTTTTGCCCAGACCTTCTTTGCAGTCTGTCTACACTGACCCAATCAGCTGGATTATTGTCCCACGGCGTCCAGGACCTCCTGGTGGCTCCAGGTGGCTCAGGCTGAGCACACCCCCTCGCTGCCTTGGGTGGTCCCGCTGAGGGGATGGGCTTCCAAGGGGGCTGGCAGTAAACTTTGTCTTGTGCGGGTCAGGTTGGAGCTTGCCCTGGGTCTGATCTCCGGGCCGGTTACTGATTAAGTCCTCACCCGGCAGTGTGCCTGACGTGGCCGCGACAGCACGGCCTGAACACGCATAAACAAAGACGGGGACGCGGGAGCCCTGCGACCTGGCCGAGGGAGGGTGAACGGGGCCTCGCGTGGTGGGGTTGGGGAGGGGGCGCGTGAGCACGTCTTGCCAACAGTCCCCCTGCCCTGTCTGCGCCCTGAATCTGGGGCCCCACTCTTGTGCACCCAGACTTCCTGTTTGTCTGTCTGTCTGTCTGTCTGCCTGTGACCGCCCCCGGCCAGGTGTCCTGCCTGAGTGGCCAGGCCAGAATCCGTGGCACCGTCCTGGTGTCCGGGTTGAATCAGAGCCCCTGCTGGACACGTGTGTCCCTGGTAGTAAGTGGGCTTGGTCTCTTGGGCTTTGTCTCCTCAGTGGTTCGCCTTTGAGGCCCCCGCCGGGAGGCCCTGAACTCTTTTACCCACTGACGTGCGGTGCGGGCTGGGCATGCAGGTGACAGACGCCGTCTTGGTTCTCGGCCATTTCATCCAGGGCCTGCCCTTCAGCTCGCCCCACCTGGCTGCCCCCTTGAAATGTGGCTGTCACCAAGAGGAGAGAAGTTGCCCGAGTGTCTTGGGTTTGGGGCTTTCTTGGGGTCAGGGTGGTGGCAGCCTCCTTTGGAACGTGGCCCGAGGTTGACGGGGCACCCTGGAGGGGTGAGCGTGGGCTGTGGTGGGCCAGAGCGGGCGTCCTGGGGTGGCAGTGCCGACACACATGCGTGCGGGGCCCCTTTGTCCCCCGCGTGGCACAGCCAAGTGCCTGCCTTCCCGCCTTCCGTGTGTTTGATGTTTTCCCCGTTGGTTGGCAAACACCAGGAGCTGCTCTGCTTCCAGTGACATTTGTCACTAGAAGGCTTTGGAGTCTATCAAATGTGTTTCCCAGATAAGTTGTCAGTCCGGGGGTGGGGACAGAGAGGTGGAGACGCCCCAGTTTTCTGGGAGTTGCACTCAGGCCAAAGTGCTCCAGTGAGATGCTTCACTCGCCTGGTGCCCTCCTCTGAGACGCCCTGCCTGGCCGGGTCCCATTGTGCCAGTTCTAGGGGGAGAGGTTCAGCTCTGCCTCGGGGGGGGGGCCTTGCACCCCCTCCCTCTCACCCCCCCCCCCGGCCTACAGGTGGTGTTTCCACGGCTCTTGGCTCTCAGTTGGTGGCCATGCCCACTGGCTCGGCTGACAGTGAGAAGGAGAGGGCATTTCTTGGCCTCAGTCTCCAGTGAGTCTCCGGTGGACCCTGGTGTGGGCAGCCTCACACTGTCCCAGCCAGCGTGGTGCCATGCATGGGTGTCCCCTTGGGTTTGGGCGGACCGAGATGGAGTTGGGCCTTGGAGCAGGATTTGGCGGTTCTCCCTCTGCGGGAGTCACAGCAGACTTCTGTGACTCTGGGCTGGACTCGAGTACCCGTCTTCCTGGCGGCCTGTCTGTGGCCGCTCCTTGCTGGATCAAGCTGTCCCGTGGGATGGGGGGAATCATCCTGCTGCATGGAGAGGTGGCACCCAGCGAGGCGACCCTCCCAGAGGTGACCATCCCCGAGATCGGAGTATGAGCAGGGGCGTTTTCCCGCTTGCCTCGAGCGCTTCCTGGGTTCCGAGTCACTGCTGATTAGACCTGACTTCCTGAATGAGCCTGCATTTGGGGACATGGGGGAGGTTGAGGTCTGGTCTGAAGAACGGTTGTGGAATTGTTGAAAACATGTAAGAAAAAAAATGTCTCAGCGGGCACAACCTATTTCCTTTAGCACACGCGTGTGTGCGCACTCACACATAACACATGTTTCTAATTGAAGCAGTAATGTGCACTTTAAATAAATCCAGTCCCACAGCAGAGAGTGGAAGGAAAGACCAAGTGCCCTGGACCCCAGTTCCCGCCAGGTCTTGCCCCACTGTCCTGCAGCCTTGCAGAGCCTGTTGGGCACGTCCATAGGACT